GCCCATCTTACCAAGGCAAACTTGCCCATCTTACCAAGGTGGCACTGATTAGCGCTGCATTGTCTTGAGCAACCATGAGCCCCGAGGAAACAAACGTGGCTTTTACACCAAAAGAAGAGACTTTGATGACCACGAGGCCAGGGTCGGGCGGAGGGGAGAAGGGGTACTGAGGATGGGGGGGCGGGTGCACACTCAGGGAGGGCTTAATGGGATGCTGGGACCAAGTACGGCTCTGTGAGGCTGAGACAAAGCAGGAAACGGAAGTGTGTGTCTCAGGGCAGACAAGGCCAGCTCAGGCGAGGGAGGAAAAGCAAGAAACCATCTTGTGGCCGGTTCCTCAGCCAGTGTCTTGGGCACCCTGCCCTGCCGCCACACTCCCGGAGGCCCTCACTCTGGGCGGGGGTGTTGGGAGGGAAGGGCCCCGAGCGGACGTCTAGTCGGCTCCGACCTGAAGTGGGCAGTGCACACAGGGCAGGCTGATAAACAAACGTAGCCAAGCCCCATGCCCCCGGGTGGGGCTCTCTGCAGAGACAGTGAAGCTCAGGCCACCAAGGGCGTGAAGCAGCACCAGCTGCATCAGAGGCCCCTCTTCCCTCCCCAGGCAATGAAAACCATGTGGTGCAGGGAGGGAGGGGGGGAATGAGGAGCGTATACCAAGGGCTCAAGTAGAAAGCAAGTGTTTTGAGAATGACGATGGCAACAAACGTACAAATGTGCTTGTCACAATGATGTATGGAGTGTGATAAGAATTGTACGAGCCCCCAATAAAATGATTTTTAAAAAAAGAAGACCGTGTGGTCTGCAGACCATCAGCCAGGGTGGAGGAGGTGTCTGTGCACAGCCCCACACCCGCCCAGCGCCCCGGGGGCGGCCCCCAATCTCAGGGAAGGCTGGTCTGCAGGAGAACTCAAGCAGACTTGTACCAGGACACTACATGTGGCCCGGCCACAGCACGGCTCTGTGGTGCATGTCCTCAGAGCAACAAAGGAGGCTGAAACCACATGTCCTGAGGATGCTGCCGCAGGCCAGGGACATGTTCAGCTCACACCTCCATCTCATGCCCACAGGGAGAGCCCCGATGCACTGACAGGACCAGCTCAGAGGCAAAGGGCTGACGAGGCTGCGCTGCGGGCACCAGCTGTCCCAGACCATCCGAGCCCTGGGTCATCAAGTCCAGCTGACCCGTAGTCCCCCACGGCCTCAGAGTCCTCAGGGCTCCCGTCTCAACTGAGGCCGACTGGGAAATCCCCCCGTGGAGCGGAGGGTGCCTTCAAAGCACACAACTTTTAGTTAAGAGCCGAGCACTTTAGCCTCGGTGCTACCAACCTCACTGCCCCAAAGGTCACTCCCACTCAAAGTGACCCTGCGCAGGTTTTCTGAGGCTGTCAATCGTTCTGGGAACAGACGACCTCATCTTTCTCCCAAAGCATAGCTGGCCGATTTGAACTGTCAACCTTGTGGTGGGCAGCCTAGCACCAAGGTTGCCACCATTGGGGAGATGCAAATCGAAGCCACCAGGGAGAGCCCAGCCCAGAGGGCAGTGGGCACGCAGGTGACACTGGAGGAGGAGGGGTGGACCTCAGGGGCAGTCACTGTGGACCCAGCGTGCCATCCCTCTGGTGTCAGGAACAGGGTTGCCACAAGCCTGCTGAAGGGACTGCTGGGACCCGGCAGG